AACATAGAAAACACCTCTTACATCTTATTTGGAAACAAATCAACAAATGCAATTCTGCTTCAGATACATAATGTTACCATTAGCAATAAAAATGATGGAAAGTTCCTTGGCCTATACCTAGACAAGATACTCAACTTCAGCACCCACATACAACACATAACTTGAAAGGTTTCTAAAGCAGTTGGTATACTCTCTAAGGTCAGATATTATCTACCGTACTCTGCTCTCCTCTCACTCTATTATGCACTTATCTATCCCTATCTTACATATGGTATCTGTGCTTGGGGTTCAACCTCTGCAAACTACCTCAAGCCCATAATCATCCAGCAAAAATCTGCTATCAGGACAATAACAAACTCTGCTTTCAGACAACACACAGCTCCCCTGTTTAAATCCCTAAACATGCTAAACATAAATTCACTCCATGCATTCTCTTGTGTCAATTACATTTATAAAACCCCTTTTCTAAGCACAAACCCTGTTCTGAAACTCTTCCTGGACAGATGTAATAGATCACATGCCCACCACACCAGACATAAATATCTCTTTGATATCCCCAGAGTCAAACTTAATCTATGTAAACACTCTGTGCAAATACAGGGACCCAGTCTATGGAACTCACTCCCTAATGATTTGAAAAGCTGTCCAACTTTTGCCTTATTCTAAAATATAACTAAAAAGTACCAAATTTCATCTTCATAGTTTTCTACCTTGTGCTTTATCTTCACACTGTATCTAGTGCTACTCAATCCCTCAATATTTGTACTTAAGCCATATTACTTTACCATTGTAACCTTAGATATTATCTGATATTATGGGTGTTGAATTGTGTGCATTTTCTACTGCATTATTCCTTGAAATGATCCTCATATTGTGCTTCAGTGAACTACTGTATAATCCTGAAATGTTATTCTAGGGTGTGTCTAGTAATCTTTGTTTCATTATTGTGTATTGTTATTATTGTGTATTATTTTAATCTGCTTTTGTGTCAAAATTTCTTCAATGTACCTGTAAACATTTTTTGTCAATTTTACTGTAATTATTCTACTTCAAATTATCTGTACCTGTAAAGAAAAGCTGTAAAGTACCTGTAAATTTTTTTTATAAATTTTAAAGGTAAATTTTATAAAAACAATCTGTTAGTTTAGGACTTGCCCGAAACGCTATGCGTGCTTGTGGCTTTACAAGAATGTAAATTCAACTTAATTTCTATATTCTCTGTTAACCCACAATGTACCTTTTGTATATAAATAAATAAATAGTTGTACTCGCCTAGTTGTGCTTGCGGGGGTTAAGCTCAAGTAGGTGAGTACACACACACACACACGTTTGTGTGTGTGTACTCACCTATTTGCACTCACCTCACCTAGTTGTGCTTGCGGGGGTTGAGCTCTGGCTCTTTGGTCCCGCCTCTCAACTGTCAATCAACTGGTGTACAGGTTCCTGAGCCTACTGGGCTCTATCATATCTACATTTGAAACTGTGTATGGAGTCAGCCTCCACCACATCACTTCCTAATGCATTCCACCTGTTAACTACTCTGATAGTGAAAAAAATCTTTCTAACGTCTCTGTGGCTCATGTGGGTACTCAGTTTCCACCTGTGTCCCCTTGTTCGCGTACCACCAGTGTTGAATAGCTTATCCTTGTCTACCCGGTCGATTCCCCCTGAGGATTTTGTAGGTAGTGGCCTGGTCGACGACCGGGCCGCGGGGACGCTAAGCCCCGGAAGCCCCTCAAGGTAGGTAGTGATCATGTCTCCCTTTACTCTTCTGTCTTCCAGTGTCGTAAGGTGCATTTCCCGCAGCCTTTCCTCATAACTCATGCTTCTTAGATCTAGGACTAGTCTAGTAGCATTCCTCTGAACTTTTTCAAGCTTTCGTGTGTGTTCACCTAGTTGTGTTTGCGGGGGTTGAGCTTTGCTCTTTCGGCCCGCCTCTCAACTGTCAATCAACTGTTTACTAACTACTTTTTTTCCCCCACACCACACACACACACACCCCCTAGGAAGCAGCCCGTGACAGCTGACTAACTCCCAGGTACCTATTTACTGCTAGGTAACAGGGGCATTCAGGGTGAAAGAAACTTTGCCAATTTGTTTATGCCTGGAGCGGGAATCGAACCCGCGCCGCAGAATTACGAGTTCTGCACGCTATCTACCAGGGTACCAGGCTCCCTGTGGTGTGTGTGTGTGTGTGTGTGTGTGTGTGTGTGTGTGTGTGTGTGTGTGTGTGTGTGCGCGCGCGCGCAGGAGCATGGTAGAGGAGCGTGAAGACCAGTTGCCGAGTAGGGACTGGTTTATGAGTCATTTTCCAGTGTGTAACTCATACTGTCCCTGGCCTCCCCTGCTGCTGTCCCTGGCCTCCCCTGCTGCTGTCCCTGGCCTCCCCTGCTGCTGTCCCTGGCCTCCCCTGCTGCTGTCCCTGGTCTCCCCTGCTGCTGTCCCTGGCCTCCCCTGCTGCTGTCCCTGGCCTCCCCTGCTGCTGTCCCTGGCCTCCCCTGCTGCTGTCCCTGGTCTCCCCTGCTGCTGTCCCTGGCCTCCCCTGCTGCTGTCCCTGGCCTCCCCTGCTGCTGTCCCTGGCCTCCCCTGCTGCTGTCCCTGGCCTCCCCTGCTGCTGTCCCTGGCCTCCCCTGCTGCTGTCCCTGGCCTCCCCTGCTGCTGTCCCTGGCCTCCCCTGCTGCTGTCCCTGGCCTCCCCTGCTGCTGTCCCTGGCCTCCCCTGCTGCTGTCCCTGGCCTCCCCTGCTGCTGTCCCTGGCCTCCCCTGCGCGTGGGTTGAGACTCCTCGAGACGCCAATTAGCAACGTTCTTGACGTGTGGAAGCCTCCCATTACCTCACATGAACGTGTGGAAGCCTCCCATTACCCCACATGAACGTGTGGAAGCCTCCCATTACCTCACATGAACGTATGGAGGACTGCCATTACCTCACATGAACGTGTGGAAGCCTCCCATTACCCCACATGAACGTGTGGAAGCCTCCCATTACCTCACATGAACGTGTGGAAGCCTCCCATTACCCCACATGAACGTGTGGAAGCCTCCCATTACCCCACATGAACGTGTGGAAGCCTCCCATTACCTCACATGAACGTGTGGAAGCCTCCCATTACCCCACATGAACGTGTGGAAGCCTGCCATTACCTCACATGAACGTATGGAGGACTGCCATTACCTCACATGAACGTGTGGAAGCCTGCCATTACCTCACATGAACGTGTGGAAGCCTCCCATTACCTCACATGAACGTATGGAAGCCTGCCATTACCTCACATGAACGTATGGAAGCCTGCCATTACCTCACATGAACGTATGGAAGCCTGCCATTACCTCACATGAACGTGTGGAAGCCTCCCATTACCCCACATGAACGTATGGAAGCCTGCCATTACCTCACATGAACGTGTGGAAGCCTGCCTTTACCTCACATGAACGTGTGGAAGCCTCCCATTACCCCACATGAACGTGTGGAAGCATCCCATTACCTCACATGAACGTGTGGAAGCCTGCCATTACCCCACATGAACGTATGGAAGCCTGCCATTACCCCACATGAACGTGTGGAAGCCTGCCATTACCTCACATGAACGTATGGAAGCCTCCCATTACCTCACATGAACGTATGGAAGCCTGCCATTACCCCACATGAACGTGTGGAAGCCTGCCATTACCTCACATGAACGTATGGAAGCCTCCCATTACCCCACATGAACGTATGGAAGCCTGCCATTACCCCACATGAACGTATGGAAGCCTGCCATTACCTCACATGAACGTGTGGAAGCCTCCCATTACCCCACATGAACGTATGGAAGCCTGCCATTACCCCACATGAACGTATGGAAGCCTGCCATTACCTCACATGAACGTGTGGAAGCCTCCAATTACCCCACATGAACGTGTGGAAGCCTGACATTTCCCCACATGAACGTGTGGAAGCCTGCCATTACCCCACATGAACGTGTGGAAGCCTGACATTTCCCCCACATGAACGTGTGGAAGCCTGCCATTACCTCACATGAACGTGTGGAAGCCTCCCATTACCCCACATGAACGTGTGGAAGCCTGACATTTCCCCACATGAACGTGTGGAAGCCTGCCATTACCTCATATGAACGTGTGGAAGCCTCCAATTACCCCACATGAACGTGTGGAAGCCTGACATTTCCCCACATGAACGTGTGGAAGCCTGCCATTACCCTGCATGAACGTGTGGAAGCCTCCAATTACCCCACATGAACGTGTGGAAGCCTGCCATTACCTCACATGAACGTGTGGAAGCCTGCCATTACCTCACATGAACGTGTAGAAGCCTCCAATTACCCCACATGAACGTGTGGAAGCCTGACATTTCCCCACATGAACGTGTGGAAGCCTGCCATTACCCCACATGAACGTATGTGAAGGGTGTTAAGGGCAGGAGAGGGGCTTCTACCCATCTGCCCAGGCTTCATCATCCACCTACGAAACATGTGCATCTTTCCACAGTTATGTTGACTTCGTTAATATTTGTTACATGTTATGAGGTCCGATGCGCTATCAGGTTGTTTATAACAATAATAACCTCAGGTTGTGAAGTATCAAACTTCGTAAACTGCTTAATAAATGAATAACCGCCAAAGCTGTTACAAGATGTACAGGTTTCGTAATTAAGTGCGTAAATACTTGATGAAACAAGGCTCTGATCGATATTTTCAGTCGATAGACAGAGGCATATTTGTGTATGGTGAGGCAGTGAGAAATTGCAGCACTGTATTATATACAAGAGAGTTGATGTAATACATTGATATTTACAGAGAAGAACGATATATGGTTCACATAAATTAATATACGAACAAGTATTGTATATTTTTATTTACGAAAACATGTTCAATATAACAGTGAATTGTTTATATTCTGTTGTGTAGAATAGGACCTGACACCTCAGGTCAGTGTAGGTGAGGTGGGTGATGATCAGGTCAGTGTAGGTGAGGTGGGTGATGACCGTGTCAGTGTAGGTGAGATGGGTGATGACAGTGTCAGTGTAGGTGAGATGGGTGATGACAGTGTCAGTGTAGGTGAGATGGGTGATGACCGTGTCAGTGTAGGTGAGATGGGAGATGACCGTGTCAGTGTAGGTGAGATGGGAGATGACCGTGTCAGTGTAGGTGAGATGGGTGATGACCGTGTCAGTGTAGGTGAGATGGGAGATGACCGTGTCAGTGTAGGTGAGATGGGAGATGACCGTGTCAGTGTAGGTGAGATGGGAGATGACCGTGTCAGTGTAGGTGAGATGGGTGATGACCGTGTCAGTGTAGGTGAGATGGGAGATGACCGTGTCAGTGTAGGTGAGATGGGAGATGACCGTGTCAGTGTAGGTGAGATGGGAGATGACCGTGTCAGTGTAGGTGAGATGGGAGATGACCGTGTCAGTGTAGGTGAGATGGGAGATGACCGTGTCAGTGTAGGTGAGATGGGTGATGACCGTGTCAGTGTAGGTGAGATGGGAGATGACCGTGTCAGTGTAGGTGAGATGGGTGATGACCGTGTCAGTGTAGGTGAGATGGGAGATGACCGTGTCAGTGTAGGTGAGATGGGTGATGACCGTGTCAGTGTAGGTGAGATGGGAGATGACCGTGTCAGTGTAGGTGAGATGGGAGATGACCGTGTCAGTGTAGGTGAGATGGGTGATGACCGTGTCAGTGTAGGTGAGATGGGAGATGACCGTGTCAGTGTAGGTGAGATGGGAGATGACCGTGTCAGTGTAGGTGAGATGGGTGATGACCGTGTCAGTGTAGGTGAGATGGGAGATGACCGTGTCAGTGTAGGTGAGATGGGTGATGACCGTGTCAGTGTAGGTGAGATGGGAGATGACCGTGTCAGTGTAGGTGAGATGGGAGATGACCGTGTCAGTGTAGGTGAGATGGGTGATGACCGTGTCAGTGTAGGTGAGATGGGAGATGACCGTGTCAGTGTAGGTGAGATGGGTGATGACCGTGTCAGTGTAGGTGAGATGGGAGATGACCGTGTCAGTGTAGGTGAGATGGGTGATGACCGTGTCAGTGTAGGTGAGATGGGAGATGACCGTGTCAGTGTAGGTGAGATGGGAGATGACCGTGTCAGTGTAGGTGAGATGGGTGATGACCGTGTCAGTGTAGGTGAGATGGGAGATGACCGTGTCAGTGTAGGTGAGATGGGAGATGACCGTGTCAGTGTAGGTGAGATGGGAGATGACCGTGTCAGTGTAGGTGAGATGGGAGATGACCGTGTCAGTGTAGGTGAGATGGGTGATGACCGTGTCAGTGTAGGTGAGATGGGTGATGACCGTGTCAGTGTAGGTGAGATGGGTGATGATCAGGTCAGTGTAGGTGAGGTGGGTGATGATCAGGTCAGTGTAGGTGAGATGGGAGATGACCGTGTCAGTGTAGGTGAGATGGGTGATGATCAGGTCAGTGTAGGTGAGGTGGGTGATGATCAGGTCAGTGTAGGTGAGATGGGAGATGACCGTGTCAGTGTAGGTGAGATGGGTGATGATCAGGTCAGTGTAGGTGAGGTGGGTGATGATCAGGTCAGTGTTGGTGAGGTGGGTGATGACCGTGTCAGTGTAGGTGAGATGGGAGATGACCGTGTCAGTGTAGGTGAGATGGGTGATGACCGTGTCAGTGTAGGTGAGGTGGGTGATGATCAGGTCAGTGTTGGTGAGGTGGGTGATGACCGTGTCAGTGTAGGTGAGGTGGGTGATGATCAGGTCAGTGTTGGTGAGGTGGGTGATGACCGTGTCAGTGTAGGTGAGGTGGGTGATGATCAGGTCAGTGTTGGTGAGGTGGGTGATGACCGTGTCAGTGTAGGTGAGGTGGGTGATGATCAGGTCAGTGTTGGTGAGGTGGGTGATGACCGTGTCAGTGTAGGTGAGGTGGGTGATGATCAGGTCAGTGTTGGTGAGGTGGGTGATGATCAGGTCAGTGTAGGTGAGGTGGGAGATGACCGTGTCAGTGTAGGTGAGGTGGGTGATGATCAGGTCAGTGTAGGTGAGGTGGGTGATGATCAGGTCAGTGTAGGTGAGGTGGGTGATGATCAGGTCAGTGTAGGTGAGGTGGGTGATGATCAGGTCAGTGTAGGTGAGGTGGGTGATGATCAGGTCAGTGTTGGTGAGGTGGGTGATGATCAGGTCAGTGTTGGTGAGGTGGGTGATGATCAGGTCAGTGTAGGTGAGATGGGAGATGACCGTGTCAGTGTAGGTGAGGTGGGAGATGACCGTGTCAGTGTAGGTGAGGTGGGTGATGATCAGGTCAGTGTTGGTGAGGTGGGTGATGACCAGGTCAGTGTTGGTGAGGTGGGTGATGATCAGGTCAGTGTAGGAGAGGTGGGTGATGATCAGGTCAGTGTAGGTGAGGTGGGTGATGATCAGGTCAGCGTTGGTGAGGTGGGTGGTGACCAGGTCAGTGTTGGTGGGGTGACCAGGTCAGTGTTGGTGGGGTGACCAGGTCAGTGTTGGTGGGGTGACCAGGTCAGTGTTGGTGAGGTGGGTGGTGACCAGGTCAGTGTTGGTGAGGTGGGTGATGATCAGGTCAGTGTTGGTGAGGTGGGTGATGATCAGGTCAGTGTTGGTGAGGTGGGTGATGATCAGGTCAGTGTTGGTGAGGTGGGTGATGATCAGGTCAGTGTTGGTGAGGTGGGTGATGATCAGGTCAGTGTTGGTGAGGTGGGCGATGATCTGGTCAGTGTGGGAACCAACCTGTGAGATTTATATTTATTTAATTTACATGAATTTATATAGAATTTATATTTACGTTAAATTGTATACTTCGATAGCAATTGGTATGATGATAAGTGGACTGTATTTCTGCAATAATCTCACAAATCGATCCTCTACACATTAGGGGGGGTTTATATTGAATTTATATATATGCAGCCAATCAAACTACAGTATTAACTACACATTAGTGTACATTGAAGAGGTTCCTTATCTTATTGTATAGCAGGCCTTAGTCCACCAGATATAACCAGGATGTAGACACCAAATTATCCTCTTTGAGGTAGCTTCCATCACCCAGTAACTGGTACACAAAGCATGCTTCCTCGTCTTGACCTGTCGATCATTCGTGTTCTAACCGGTCGCCCTATCTACTGACATTAATGGCCAAAAATGATTAGATAAACGGGTTTCGGAAAGACACTTCCCTTGAGATTGATGACAGCGTGTTGATGATGGCAGATCACTACTCTGATCTTCCATAACACTTCGTCCAAGAGAATTTATAGGAGCCGAATTTGCTCCACGACTCTGTGGTCTTAAACAATAACAATGGCTGACCACTCCCCCCTCACTGACGCTACTGGCCTACATTGTCCAGATGTCAGTAAGTGATAGAAGGGTCACATTTACTCTATTTTAATTCTGATAATTAAGTTAATTTATATGAGATGTTTTTATGATGGTAAAGTCCAAAGACTAATGTATTTAAGAATAATTCCCACCATAATAGGTGGTGAATTTATAATAGTATGTGGTAATGATATCCCGTTTTCTATAGACGGAAATTCCACTACAAGTTACATTTTCTATGGGTTAACTTGTTTATACAACACAGCAATATTATCTGCCTGTATGATATTATTAAATGGTGGATTTTCCGACAGTCAGTGTAGGTGAGGTGGGTGATGACTAGGTCAGTGTAGGTGAGGTGGGTGATGACCAGGTCAGTGTTGGTGAGGTGGGCAATGATCAGGTCAGTGTTGGTGAGGTGGGTGATGACCAGGTCAGTGTTGGTGAGGTGGGTGATGATCAGGTCAGTGTTGGTGATGATCAGGTCAGTGTAGGTGAGGTGGGTGATGATCAGGTCAATGTTGGTGAGGCGGGTGATGACCAGGTCAGTGTAGGTGAGGCGGGTGATGACCAGGTCAGTGTTGGTAAGGTGGGTGATGACCAGGTCAGTATAGGTGAGATGGGTGATGACCACATCATTGTAGGTGAGATGGGTGATGACCACATCAGTGTAGGTGAGATGGGTGATGACCACATCAGTGTAGGTGAGATGGGTGATGACAAGGACAGTATGGGCGAGAAAGGTGATGAATGTGTCAGTGTAGGTTTTACGATATCGACACCATCGTCGAAGTGTAGAGTGGCGATTTCAGCACCATCTATGGGTCTGTACTCCAATTCCCCTTAAATTTAGTGCAACTCGGACAACGCCATCTGTTGGTGGTGGCGTGGCAGCGATAATTGGCTCCAGTTTCCTGCCTCAGTCAGAATGTGAGGTCGATGATGACGACCTCTGGTGGGTGGCGTATCAAGATCAGCGCCATCTAGGATGTGGCTGAAAGCACAATATCATTTCCCCGGTGGACGAGTGTTATACCAGAATTACACAGTGAACTGTCCATCTGGTTAATGACGTTTTTATGTCCACAGAGGTAACATATGGAGGTGATTGGGCTGACAAGGTCAGTTCACCTTGGGCAGTTCACGAACTCCTAGCTTGGTCTTGCGAGAGGACTAAATAGCCGCCGTCGATTCGAGCAGAGTGTGTTAGCTGCTGATATATGTAGTGTTTTAAGGATCGACGTACCTGGGATTCGCTTGTAAGAGTTAAGGAAGACAGTGATATGTCTATTGTGAAGTGCTCCTAGCAAGCTGGTAGAGGCTTCTGCCAGGGTGTTAGCTACGACTGTGTGTTAGTTTGGGACCCCCTGTCACCATGTTGCTGAAGCCCTTTGCCAGTGAGTATCTGGAGAGTGAAGGTCGGGTGTTGTGATACTGTGTGGGTGGACTGGCCCATGTCCTGAGTGAAAGAGGCACTTTGTACATAAGTATAGTAATAATCTATTATAATTATATATATATATATATAAATATATATATATATATATAAAAAGCGAATAAGCCTGAATGGTCCCCCAGGACTATATGCGACTGAAAACTCACACCCCAGAAGTGACTCGAACCCATACTCCCAGGGGCAACGCAACTGGTATCTACAGGACGCCTTAATCCGCTTGACCATCACGACCGGACAAAAG